CCTAAAAATTAAGCCTATGTATGAAGCAGAAACAAAAAAAAAAGACATAGTATTTTTCTTTCTAGTATAATATCATGTTTCATGTTCTTACACGGATGTCTTTAGTTAACATCAGAAGCTCTTCTGGTGTTTGCTATGTAAGAAGGCAGCCCATAAAATGATACAAGTTTCTGTAGTCACCACTAAAGACTTAAACACTTCATTCCTCTACCACTTGAAGTAAATCTAGCCCGAGATTTTTGTTCCACAATGATTCTCATGGGCTCCAAACTCAGTGCTTACTATACTAACAATAATCCTTCATGTCTCCAGACTCTATCCATGTTCGTTGTTAATCTTCAGTCACAAAGTAATGAGATGCATCACACATCATCAAGCTGGCCTAAGGGGTTACAAATTTGGATGAGGGCCATATACTGTACTAATTGCTTCTAATAAATTACATATTTCAGGAGGGACATCATGATTTTAATCATTTATTCTGCATGTTGTTTCCTTTGGAGAGAAGAACAAGCAGGCACTAAACAAGCCGAGCATCTGAAATTCATGGCAGAAGCTAGAAAGAACTCATTTAATATCAACCATCATTGTAAATACTAGAATTATGCATGTATCAAGTCCCTGGGTCTGAACACTTTGGGAACAGCCAGTGAGTTCTGGCTGCTTTAATGACTCAAACCAAAATGATGTCTTTGAATGTTCCTTAGATTTATAGCAAATCAGATTTAATCCCATTTCAAATCTTGTAACTGGGGCTTAACTTAAGAAAAAGTCTTTGTTTCTATGCAAAGAAAAATACATTAAGAGGGGAATTTAAAACATGTATTTCCCAAAAGGCTGAGAGGGAAAACAGTCAAACATACATTTCACTTCTGTGAGGAAAGACTTTAATTATGATTTGATGGCTGTTCATCACAAAGGTGGCCCAGTGAACACAGACAGTGAAAAGAACTTTCTTTAAAGCCTCTTGAAATTAGTAGGACCTTGATCTGATCTAAACAACCTCTTGCAGGGTGAACTAAGATGAGTGAAGGTTTCCTATTTCCCTGACCTCTAGCACATCCACACCAGTAGACTTGCTGTTAATGAAATCCTCAAACCTCTCGGGAATGTGCACTTCCTTCACAGGGGGAGACCTTGATAGTACTTAAATAGCCACCAGTATTAATAGCAATATGTGGTAGATAATGTGGAGACTTGGGAACTCTAGGGAGTAATGCAGGTTTGGGAACAGCTCAGGCTGTCTTCCATTTGTCTTTGTAAACTTTTCTTCCTGTCACCGCTGTCTGCATTTCCTTCCAAGGATGAGCTGAGGTACCAAACAAAACATGACTACCTAGGTAAAAGGAAACCTGCCTCGGCACAATGTGTGTCTTGGGATGGAAAGCTGCAGTTGCAGCTCTGAGAATCAAATGTGCTCTTAATTTTCAAGTGGTAATGAGATATCAAGGAAGCACCATTACCTGGGATAAGTGTAATCTGTTTCTGCCTTGGCAGTCTAAGCTGCCTTCATTTGGTTCCTCTCTACCTGTGAGGTTTATCATCCCACCATAGACTTCTCCGGCAAGCGTGAGGGAAAAAGGGTGAGGTTCCAGCAAGATTTCCAGGGGCTACTCTAACCCACCAAGCAGAATAATGAAGATATCTCTAAAGATACTGTTTGTGCATGGATGGATGGATGGATCTTTGTGCTAAAACAGTTGGACATCTATTTTGCTATAGAAGAAAAGGACCAAAGGGTTCTTGGTTTTGTCATAGAGAACAAAAAGCAGATTAGTAAAGAGGAGAAAAAGGCCTTACACAATGAGAATTGACTGGGAAAGATTGCCCCAGGTGAAACTGGTGACTATTCAAATTGAGAAACATTTCTCTGATTGCTTTTATGGTATTTTTCATACGGGGGTTCAAGCCAACCTCTGCACATGAAGATTGAGAGCTTAAAGCATGAGAGAAATGGAAGTTCAGGCATAAAAGCCTGAGTAACAGAAGTAAGAAGTGACACAAACAAGGGAGATAGAAGTGATGAATCCTCAGTTAAGAGTGCTGCTATACCTAGAAAAAACTGTCACAATGTAAATCACAACATACAGAAAATTTGATGGATTAGTTTGGTGCAGTCTTCAGACACTGACTTGTGCCAACATTGTGTGCTACATAAGAACATGGAATTAACAAACACTAGTGTGGCAGGTTAGAAGAAGGAATATCTATGAAAGCAAAATGGAAAACCTCTTTGATATCCATTAGGTTTGGTAATACAATACTAAGAAGCACACCATACTGAGCTGTTATCTGGTTGGCTGGCTCAGTCCCTCTCCAGATTACCACTTAAATCAATAGCTCTCACATTGATTTTTCCAGCGCACTGTATTCCAGTAAAAAGAACAATGCTCTGAGATGAGTCAGCTATTTATTCTTTCTGTAGGAACTCTGGTTCATTTTCATTTAGGAAAATAAAAGCAGGAGCCAAAGTACACACAGATATCTAGTAATAAGAACCTGCCTGTTGCACCATAACATGACACAGGCTCTGCAGACACGCAGGTTTGCTACAGCTTCCTGCAGCAGCCACAGCCCGGCCTTGAGCTAGAGCAAGCTGCTGTAACAATGGGACTGAAATATTTGGGGATTATCCTAAACAGACCATAACATTGAATTTTAGTTTAGTAACTGCTATGGCAGAGGAGAAAAATATGCCCATATATATATATATCATATCATAGAATCACAGCATCATAGAATGGTTTGGATTGTAAGGGACACTAAAGATCATCTCGTTCCAACCCCCCTGCCAGGGACAGAGATGCCACCCACTAGACCAGGTTGCTTAAAGCCCCAGCTAACCTGGCCTTTGATAATTCCAGGGATGGGGCATTCACAACTTCTCTGGGCAATATGAACCCCTTCTCTGGGCAATTTAACTAAGAAGCTGATCTCCATATATTTACCATGACTCGTAGAACCTCAGCAGTACTGTATTTCCATTTATTGCATATATTTTCATGTATTTGCATGTTCCATGTAACATGTACTATAGTTCTGGTATTGTAACTAGTCATCACTATTGTCTGATGTTGTTTCTGCTCTTTTCAACTGTGTTTCCAATTTCCCATTTTATGTAGGTTACTATAACCACAACATGCAGGTTCATTTACTTTCTCTCTTCAGCTTAGCTCTTGATTCAGAAACCAGCAACCTTTCTCTCACCCAGTTTTGCAACTGTTTAAAGAAACTTACAAAAACTGCAGCAAAAATATTTTCAGTTCAAAGAAGAAATTACAGTCTCAAGAGCTACTTGGAGATTTGGAGTCAGGCTGAAGCAAAACTCTGCCCACGGTTTCTCTTGACCCCTCTCTGCTGCAGGCATAGAGAAGATCCTGCCATGGCCTCTCATCTCTCCCACAGCTCTCCACACACAGCTGCTGTCTCGGCTTCCAGGCTTGGCAACTGCCTGCGAGCTTGGCCTGTTTCTGGGAACTTGAGTTAACAGTAGCTAAAAACTACTAAAATGCTGGAGAAGTTAACAAATGAAAATATTTGTCCCTCTTGTCCACTACCTTTATTATCTCCAGCTTTGACTGCAAGGTACCGGATTACAGTCTATTCCACTTTCCATTAATAACAGCCTCAGAGGCATTCTGTGCTCTGTTTTGTGCAGTTTACAAGATATTTCAGGTTAGCTGTGATCTATTTTGAATCACATGCTCTCCTACTTTTGTACTGTTCCGTGAGAATTAAGTTGATGTAGAAGTAAACTATGCCAGGCACTTCCCCAGGGTCTCAGCAGAGTGTTACAGGTAACTCTGCATTGGCTGCAGTCCTTGAGTGAAGATACAAGGACCTATTTTACACAGCTCTTCATTTGCACAGTATTTAGTTTAGGCTTGCACAGGAAAATAATACAGCAGTGAGATCAATAGGTATTATTTCTATCCATGCAGAGCATTTTCCTTTCACAAAAATTATTGTAATTGACTCTAATAATATTATTTCTAATATTCAGTACACAAACTTTAGCCCATTTTGGCAAACTGATAGTAAGTCTTTTGTGACAGCTGAGTGATGTTTTAACTGTGGCCAAGACAAGTACTAGAGAACTGAAGCTATAGAATGAGATACATACAGGATAGGCTGATATGGTAAATTACCTAATGACAGTGGCAGTATTTCACACAACAAATCAGATATCCCACGTTCTGTGCCAGGTAATAAATTGTGTTAAGCAGACAAAGGCAAATTTATGTATTCATTATCTATCAAGAGACACTTGGCAGAATAACCTTTGGTCTGCAGTCTGAAAATAATCATTCTCTGACAAGTGTCAGTCGGAAGTGCTAGTGAATCACTATAGATCTTGCTTTGCTGCAAGCACCATCAAATCAAACTCTGTTCAGTTACTTGAGAAGCAAGGCCTAAATGTAGTTGCTCTGATCCCAGCTGATATTCCTGCTGCTTTTATATTTCTAAAAGCATGTTAGCCCTTGGAACATTTACTAAGGTTTCTCATTTTATCTTATCTTCCCAAGAAAGGCTTCACACTTCCTATGATCAGATATCTAGCCCACAATTTTGGCTATTCTCCTTTTCACAGCTGCCTGGAAAGGCAGGCAGAAATTGGGGGAGCAGTTTAAAGAAGAAACAGAGAACTCTATGGGGCCAGCACTAATAGAATTTACATATTCAAGAAGCTCTCTTCAAAGTTTGGCATTGAATTATCTGTTCGAGCAAACTAATAAAAGTATCAAAACTTTTTTTTTTAAAAACAAATAAATTTACCACTGCAGCAAGATTCTGTGCTGAGGATAAATAGATGGTCAGCATCAGGCAGATGGTCAATGCCAGACAGTGACTCCAAAGTGCGAAGGCAGTGGTGGCTGAGCATGAACCTCCCGCAGTTGTGCTGCTCGTGGGCAGAGCCATTGCTCACACCCCGGTGTTTCCTCTGCCAGAGAAGACAGCGAGCCACAGTGCAAGGGGCCGGGGCAGGACCTGCACAGTACCTTTGAGGGCAGGAGGGGTGAAGACGCTCTGCTTCCTCTGCTTGGGAGAGGCACTCTGGGACTGGGGAGGGACAAAAAACAGAGAGAGGCAGTAAGAGATGGGCAGAGGGAGAGCTTTCTGTTCATGGCAGCTCTGGGTCTTGCCCCACAGCTGCTTTCAGAGGGTGCACATACCCATCTGAGGAGTTTCTAAGAAAAATATATTGTGTACAGCTGATGCCAGCTCCTGGGCTTTCATGTATACAGAGAAAACTAAGATTAGATAGAAAAATATGTATTTAATGGACAATCTTTATGACTCCCAGGCAAGACAGACCCAATGCTACTGAAAATTACCCTTCACCCTAAAAAAATATTGTTAAACATAAAATTTGGATAGTCTGTGCTTTTAACAGTCTGTGTAACTGATTCTCATAAGGCAAATAAATGTTTACATCCATTAAAATAGTTGCAAGATTCACATTAATCAATATTCCAATTAAATACAACATAATCAGTGATTATATGTATAGGTAAGGTAGAACTGAAATTATTAATATATACATTTTAACATAAATAAGTGGAAAATCTCTCTCCTTCACTTTTTCAATGTGTTCTATTGCACTTAAGAAAATAATTTCAGCAACCAATCATTTGGTCTTTAATTGAGACTGATTTGAGTGTTATATTTAGATACAGTTAAACTTTTTATGGCCCTGAAATTGCACCTATGCACAAAAGATAAAGTATTCCAAAGTAATGGTAGCAAAATTACACATAGAGTAATAGCATAATTGTACCAATGTTTAGTTAGCAAAAACTGATGGGAATACATTCAGTGCTAAAGCAGAGCAGCTTTTGCAAAATGAAAGCAGCCAAATTGGTGTTCATATTATACCAATATGAAATATGTTGATATACAAAGGATACTAAAGCTACATAAGGTCACACTGACAGCTGGCTTTGGAAGACATAAGCACCATATCACATGCCTAACAGAAAGCTTAAGGAAAAGCTGTGTGTAGGCAAGCTTTTTTTTTCTCATCTAATCAATTTCTATTTATATTTGTATTTATTTATATATATTTATATTTGATGTTGTCTTTTCCCAAATATTTTCTAAAAATGCCTATTATATAGACCGTGAATTTTAATCAGATCTATTTCTTCATGGAACATTTGAAACAGCTCTTAACAGAACCACTTTCACAAAAGTATGGCCAATCCTATTACCTTACCTTATCACAATGGATGGAATGATAACATTTATAAATAAAATATTGTCAGCTTTGGAAAGAGAAAGTTATTTATACACACTATGGGATGGGTTGTTGATCCTCACCCCAGTAAATCTTTACAAGTCTGTATTTGAGTCCAAATTTGAACCAATCAATACCTCCTGCTGCTATTTAAAATGCTGCCTGCTGCTCTGGGCAATGGGTGAAGGAGATCAGAGAATTGCAGGAACTATGCAAGGGGAGATTAGAAAACAAGATCGGATGAGCCCACTTTTAACTCGTACAAACAACATTGCTGCACTGCCTGCTGTAGGCTTGGCAAACGATGGAGAGAGTAGGGAGGAGTTTGTAATGCTTTTGTAGACCAGCAGCAACCTGCAGATCCAAAGCAATGCTTGGATGAGTTTAGCTGGCAGGGGCACCTTGGGCCAGGGTTGTTATGCTTTGCCAGGGCATGGCAGCAAGGCAGAGGGGAGGCTTGCCTCTCCCAGTTCCAAGCCACAGGGAGAAGGAGAGCCAGCAGAACTGACACATAACAAAAACAAGGCTGTGTTACTGAGGATGGCATGGCAATGTAAACAAAAATATTAACCAGGATGAATCAGGATGAGTTTCAAAGAGGTTTTAACAATAGACTTATTTTAACAATAAATATGTTTAAAAAAAAATCAAAATTCACTTACCTCTGCCTGTGAGATGTTTGTTCTCTTCTCATCTTTTTCTACAGAAAAAGATATGGAAAAAGAAAAGTTAGTACAGAAGTGTTTCTCGGTGCTAACACTTGCAACCCTACAGCACTGCTGTAAATAAGAAATTAACCTTCTGATTTCCAGCTTTTCTTTCTCTTTTGTATGTCTCAGAAAACCAGAGGCCCTAATTAGCATTTAGACATAAGAACTTCATCTGAAGCACTTAACTCCTATTTTTTGTCTGTGAATAACAGCAAGCAATGGAGTGCCTTCAGCAGCAGGTCCTTTGTCCAGGCTGGCAGCAGGGCTCTGCGCTTGCAAGTGGGGCTGTCAGGATACAGGATTGCTTTGCCCAAGGACTGCACTTTCTTCTATAGTCAGAAAAGGCTCGGTTGCTAAATGGCATGCAGCAAACTCACAAAGGGCTCTATGCACTCAAATCATAATAACCTCACTCAGGTTATTAATATAACAATACTGGCACTGAAGAGCACCTTGAAGTAATATGCAAAATTAACAAAACAAAGCTTAACAAAGAGTAATGTTTCACCTTAGAAATTTCATGATGCTACCGGACTGAAATTTTTCCTGGAACTTCTTACTTTTATTGCCTTAATTTGCTTTGGACTATGTGCATGGCAGAATTGGCAAAACAAGAGATTTCTAATAAAATAAACATCTCTGAGAATCTGTATGAACAACTAAGTAAAAATGTATGAAGCAGAGGAGGCTCAAGGATCTTACTAACCATGGTATATAACCAGTCTTTGCATGAGCCAAATTCTTTTGCTACTGCTGTCCTGATATGGTTGATGGCCCAACAGTGTCTGTCTTCTGCCAATGATTTCACAAATACTTGATGAATAACACATAGGATCTTTGATGCACTGTAGTTTAGAGCTCTAAAATAAAATGCCATTGAAAAAAGAGACATCAATCTCTCACTGTACCAACACCCCTTCTAAAATTTTAGTGTTTAATTTTCACTGAGGTGTGGCAAATCTGTAAATGTAGGTATGAGGGAAGAATAAGGTCTAGGCTGTATCACTTTATGTGACTTATTCTCTAAATATTGGCTGCTTGTGGTGTGCTGTGTATGAGGGTACAAGCTAGTGCAGGCAGCTGGATCACATTTTCTGTTGGATTCTTTACCATTGCATCTGTGAATCTTGCAAACATTAATTGACTTACTGGATTTTTCAATGTATGTATTTCCCATTACCTCCATCTGAAAGGCATTCAAATCACTCATGCTCAAGGTTAAAAAGTGTAGTTGAAAACAGTGCTGATTACTAAAGCATGATCCCACAGATACAGAATTAGACAGGACAATCAGGAGGCCAGTTTCCTGCCATTGACATTTGTGTGAACTTTGGTAAGGTCACTAAACTCCTCCTTGACTTCCTTACCTGTAAATAAGTATAGCAGTGCCTATTTCAGTATAGCAGTGTCTATTCAACTCCATAAAACACTTTGAGGTATGAAGTCAGGCTGGCCAAATGGGTGATTATTTATGTGCTTGTAATCTTTCTTATTGGTTGTACAGCAAACAGACACAGACTTCAATGAGTCAACACTGGACTTTTTTTTTTTAGCTCAGGATCCTGGATTTACTTCGGAGGCTGAAATTTGAATAAATCCGGAACTTTCAGCAGAGAACAATGAAAAGTAAGTTACATCCCATTCCTTCCCAAAACTCTAAATTTGTCCAGATTAAAAATATATTTTGTAAACTCAAGCTGAGGCTTGCATAAGGAACAAAAACTGTGATCAGCAGCTTTGTCAGGTTTCAGGTTTTGATCCTGAGAATGTGCACAACTGTAACTCTCTGGGCTTGCACATTTAGTGTTCTAAGTGATGTGACAATAAAACTACCAGAACTGGAAAACTTCCAGACTTTCTTTTCACCCAGCAGCCCTTATATGACAGGCAACTTCGGAAAAAAGAACCGGTCCTATATGGAGATAGAGAGATCATGCAGATCCATGGGGTAAATAGTGCCAATGAAAAGCACCAGACAACATGGACATTTAAGAGTGACTTACAAAATCACATAACCCCCACCCATTTTTCAAATCAGTAAAGAGAGATCAGAAATGAGCCTAAAGGAATGAAAGATACAAACTTGAGGCAGCAGCCATGATGTGTTTCAAGTGAGATGAAGAGAAATGTAGAGCTGGCTGGAGATGCAGTTTGGTCAGTGGTACATTTTGACATGTATTTATTTTTGAGGACAGAAAGAGCACCACATACTTATTTTTGACAGGCATTATAATGGTCAAGACCTAAGGAGAGTATAGATTTTTAAGGAGAGGTGACAAGGAATGGGAACAAGGGAAGCCTAGATCCCTGAATGACATAGACTGAGGCAGAGAGAAGAAAATAGACAAAAACTCTTTGTGTAGAGGAGGAGGAAAAGATGGAAGGCAAGGGGGACATGGAATGAAGATATACTAGCTGTGTGTAGCTGAGGTAGCAATGAGAGACAGGAAGAGTGGGGTTGTAGCAACAGTAAAAGGTGGAATTTAGTCATGACAGAGAGCAGAGCTGGAGTGCAGTGCAGGCTGGAGCTCAGTCAGGAGTTCTCTGCCTGGGGAAAGATTTAGAGCCATCTTGGTCTAACTGAAGGATTACATTAATAATTGTGGGAACATTCTTCCTTGCACAAATAACGGTTTTCCAGTGTAACTTATAATGCTTTGAAGGCAGTCTAAATAAACTAATGAAAGCATGTCTCACTAAAAAAGCATCGTTGTGAGAGTCAATGGAAGTAGCAATTAATGCTCTCACTGGCATCAAGAGATAATGTAGAAAACCTCTGTGACAACAGATTATATGAGAATGGAATGTACAAGGTAAGAAAGAACATCATCAGTTACCTACTGCAAATCAGACATTTCCACTCACAGAAACCAAACAAGCCATGCATCTCCCACCCTCAAATTCATCAACAGTTATAAGCTGAATTTCTTTTAGAGCATAAATTACTCTTAAGAAGGGTCAGGAAACAATCAGAAAATAAATCACAAATAGCAGACTATGATACCACTTGATTCCTAGGACAGGATGAAATCCCTCGTTTGTCAGCATCCTCTAGTTCCCACTGACTACTATGCAGGCAGGATTCTGTTCACAAAAATCATAGTTATACAGAATGAGAAATTCACTTATCATGTTTATAACTAGGCAATTATATCACAGAGAATATGAATTCAAATGATCAGTTATTTCTCTTTTATATTAAACAAAACCCTAGTTCTCAGTAGATAACTTCTCCCTACAGGTTTGCTCTCTTTTTGGGCCCAGAAGGGAAGAAGCCGTTTAATGATGGTCCATTTTTCTCCCTCACAGAATGTAACATTGTTCACAGAACACAATACAGCTGTGTTGTATTCCAAATCTCAACATATGTTTTTTTCCAGTTAAACTTATTCTCATCTGCTCTAATTACCTAACAGGGATCTAATTACTCAAGTAATTTCTAGACAATTTTTGTGTTTTTGTTTCAAGGAGGTGTAATACCAATCATAGGAAGAGCTGAGAATGGATTTGTACATACCCAAGTACTGGAAAATGGAGGTATACAAAAACAAGATTGGAGTTTTGTTTAGAGGGGTTTTTTTACACCTGTGCTGAGATAAAAGCAGACGAGGACTTTCCCTTATGCTGGGTGAATAATGTCTGAGCCTAGACCAATCCTTACCTCATGCAGACTGGAGTAACACCTGGTAAAATAAACAGGGTTTCAGGCTTTAGTCAGTGTCCTCAGGGAAAAAAAAAGTCAATGAAAGATTCAGTCTAAAGGATATTTCATTCAGTCCAGATATGAGATATGTACACAGACTTTCTGAAAGAAAGCCTTGTTTTTTTAAGAAGAGACACTTCTGAGAACCCATCTACCTGCACAGACCCCCTTTCAGCATTAGACCTGTAAGCTTTAGCCTTTACCCAAGGCAAAAATCTCACTCACTTGCAGGGAAACCTGCAAGATTTGGCCTAACTATATTGCTGAAATAGGTGGAAGAAACACCAGGGAATTTGTCTCCCAAACTCTCCTGTTAGCAGAGCTCTTTTGAATCTTTATTAGCACATCCCTCTAGCCAAGCTGATATAATAAGCTGAGCTCTCCAAAGGTGTCGTTATACGAAGTCAGAAAAGAACCAAGTGGAAGGAGGCTGGTTGTAGCTGGGATCACAGCTGCTGGGCAGTGCTGATCACTCTTCCCATGAATCCCCACTGTTGTGCAAAGGGAATGCCCATGCTGGGGAAAGCTTTGTGGTCATTTTAGAATAAGATCAAAATTCATCTGCCTTTCTTCTCCCACTGGATAATGTTAATGCACTTGGAGCAGCTATACAGGGCAAGAGGTGACCTGTCTTAAAAGACTTGGCCTCTGATATCACCCAGGGGCTCTGCAGTGGTCTCATCTCGCAAAGGCTTATCTCATCCAACTAAGTACCCTGCTTGCTTTTCCCTTTTCTGTAGGGTATCAGTCAGGCACTGGAGAAATAGAACAGATCAGAGAGGCCGGCTTTTACACAAAAGCAACTCAGTAAGAGGCTGGTATAATTGTTGGAGAAAGCTTCTTGTAGAGAGTTTGGAATTTTCCTTGGGAAAACACAGTTGGGCAGTTTCAGATCAAAATCATAGGAGGCTGATAGGTTTGGATTTGGTTAATTTTTGTCATAGTGTCTAAATTTTGCTTATAACTAATAACCATAATAGTCTTTAATTGCTCAAATAGTGGGAATAGCCCATGAGCTGCATGCCTATAACAGGTGCTAGTTAAAGAATGATTTAAATGAGAATGGTTTCAATCTGAAAGAAATGAGCCTGGTGACAGACTTCAGGGACACAATGTTTAGTCTGGAGTCACTTTATAATCCTGCCCTTGCCCCTGTATATATAGTGTCACTGGAGGGAGCAAAGTAGATGAATAGAAGCATGGATCCAGCCTTTCACGTGCAAACTAGTGCAGGGCACCCCAGGCTAGTGACAAATCAGATACTGCTGCTGCTATGAAATAGTTTAG